CCCTCGGCGCAGCATGCCCGCCCCTCCCCAGGTGCAGTGCACCCCTCGGGGATCAGGCACAGAGGGTCGTGCCGTGTCGGGAATGGGGAACTCGGCACTGCCTGAAATCCCACCGGATCACACTAGCAGCTCTGCTGTGAGGTTCACCGGGGGCACAGCTTCACCCCATACACCCTAATCCCGAGAAGGAGAGGACTCCAGCTGCACGTGCAGTGCTGCAGGATGTTAGAAGATACTTTCAGAGAGTCAGCAAGAGCAAAAACAATCGCTCAGTTCCCAAATCACCAGTAAGGCATTTCTGATGCAAGGCTGGGAGCCAGATAGTTTTGAAAAGTGCATTAATGATCCAAAATCTGCAATCTGCTGCTGTCCTCCTGAAGCATTGCCCAATTTCCGGCTCCACAGAATAAAACTTGTAGCCAAAATTCAAATCTGCATTTATAAACTAGCTCATTTATCAAACATGACACCCTTGACAGCAGCTTGCGAGACAGAAAGAGGCAAGCCTGCCGGGAATCGCCCGCTGCCCAATTACTGGTGCCCAGGCAGCCCTATCGATTCGGCAGCACTAGATATTTTCAGACTCCTGAGACGAGGCAGCCCCAGGAGCCAGAGCCGCCTCCTGCCCCCCTGGCAGAAGGGGAAGGAATGACTTCATTGCTGACAGCCCCAGAAGCAGCGATACACAGTGACCTTGCCGTGGATGCCGTCATGCCCGGGACAGGTCGGATCTCATTGCTGGGGTCAGGGACGCAGATGCAGCAGCTGCTCAGCGTTGGCATTTACAAACAGCTTTCTCTGCTCGTGTGCAAGAAGCGGCTTTGCTGTCTGGAAGAGGGGGAGGACACGTGGCGAGGCGCTGGTCCCTGGGGCAGTCCCCTCCCGCAGGTTGCGCAGGCAGCAGCGGTCCCATTTTCCCAGTTTTTTTTCACCCTGCCAGGACCCGGGGACCCTGCGCACTGCACCGCTCCAAGATCTGCCGTCGTCTCCAGGGAAGGTGCTGAGGGGGGTCGGGGACCCTGGAGCATCCCAAAAACGCTTGTGAGAAGATGCCCAAGGAGGAGGATTCACCCTTCCTGTACCAGAGAGGCTCAAGGCTCGAAATTTCTTTAAACAGACAACAGGCATCTCTGGAAGACAGTACAACATCAGGTCCGAGTGGCTTTCAAGCTTCTCCGGTTATTGCCAATTTGTTACGTATTGCACAGGCTGCTCTCCAAGCTGGGGCCAGCTTTGCACTGGGCCATCCCTCCTCAGACCCCATACGGGTAGAAATCCTCCGCAGCAGTGCCAGGGCTGTTGAGGCACCAGCGCCCGACGTGCACTACCTGCTCCGCAACAACCTCACCCGCTTAACGAACCTGCACAGCCCCGCGTCCTCTGAGAGCAGCCCAAGAGTCGCATCCTCTTCCGCCTGTAACTGCTTGCTGTGACACAAGCAGCATGACTTCATTCCTATAATGTCCTGACAATTATCTTCATGTGCCATTTAATAAATGAATCTTTTTTCTTTTTTTTTTTTAAAATTTGGACATAAATACCAGCTCTGCACTTCAGAGAATGCAGAGTAGTTATTCTGTGGCTTAATTTGGACTCTCAGTCAAAATCTTCTGCGGAAAGCTTTGTACTATCCAAGCAGAAAGGCCTGCAATCTGCTGTGTAAAATCTTTAAGTAATGAGTTTAATTTCCAAGGGCCCTGCCAAGGCTCTGCACTGATACAGCCAGAACGCCTTCCCCTCCCTCACCCCTTATCAGAGACGAATACATATTTTCTCGTCACCGTTATAAGCTTTTATCTGTGCCTTTTTGATAGGAGACAAGGCAATCTTTATAACCACATTCCTGAATTATAAAACACAAAAGTGTATTAGAGAAAAGTCCCACAAAAGGTCCTGCCAAGGCACTACCTGGCAATGAGCCCGCGGGGGAAG